AGCCGGACCTGTTTTCTGCCTCCCCAGAGCCACCGCTTCTAAACGGAGAGGAGAGGAAAGAGGGTGCCAAGGAGAGGGTCCGGAAAGGAGAAGAGAAAAAGAGCCAGAAAAGGAAAGAGAAGAACCAGAAGGGGCAGGAAGAGGCAGAGCTGTCCAGCCAGGAGAAAAAAGAGTCACAGAGGCATAGGCAGGGCAAGCGGGAGCGCCATGAACCTGTGAGTGAGCAGGTGAGCACTGGGGAGAATCACACCTCACCTCACCTCACCCATGAGAAGGGGGTGAAGTGGGCTGCCACTGCCCAGCCTTCTCTGAGTGAGAGCACTTGAGGGCAAGGAGAAACTTCCTATTCTTACACCCCCACCATTCAGGAAAGAGTAAACAAGAGGCCGAAGAAGTCTGGGACACCAGAAGAGGACGACAGTGGTGTGGAGGTCTATTACCGGGAGGGAGAGGATGAGATGGAGCAGCCGGGGGTGCTGCCCATGGTAAGAGTTACCACCAAACAGAGAGAAAGGCTTCTGGGGGAGACCTCGCCAAGAGCTGTGCCCCATCCGCGGTACATTTGCTACCTCAGCCAGTCTAGCTCCTTGACTGGGTCTGTTAGCACTAATAACATGTTTATTAAGAACTGAATGAAAGATGGGCAGATGAAGAGAAGCCACAGCTGGTGGGAGCCCACGCTCCTCGCTGCTTGAGTGGAGGCTGTGGAAGTCTCAGCCATGGGCAGGGCTTCCTCACTTTTGTCAATTCATGCCACCATCAGTATTTCTGTTGCAGACCTACTACTGTGAGTGTGTGTGTGTTTATATTTTATAAAGTTATTATCTAAGTTACTGATTTAGAAAGAGCATTTTTAAGGATCCCCTTGGGGTCCTGTGATGTGGCAGCAGGCAGGAGACAAGTCTGTGTTTCCTTCCCTTAATGTTCTGTGATCCTGCAGGGAAAGCAGACAAAGCCCGCAGAGGTGCCCCGGCTGCAGCTCTCTTCAGGCTTCGTTTGGGACGTGGGGCTTGACTCTCTGACTCCAGCCTTGCCACCCCGAGGAGAGAGCTCAGACAGTGAGGAGGATGAGAAGCCTCACCAAGCCAAGGTTGGTGCATTCCCAAGGCTTTGCTCCTCTTCAGAGACTCCTCTGACCCAACTCCTGTGCCCTTTTCTGTGGGGTCCATGGACTGTCCTGTGAGCCCGTGGCTTCTGCCTCTGTCTCCCTGGCATGAAGGAGCAGGTGGCTCACTTTTCTTTCCTCCGTGCAGAAGAAGAAGGGCAAAAAGGAAAGGGAGCTGGAGAAGCAGAAGGCGGAGAAGGAGCTGTCACGCATTGAGGAGGCACTCATGGACCCCGGGCGGCAGCCCGAGTCTGCAGATGACTTTGACCGGCTGGGGCTGAGCACCCCCAACAGCTCTATTCTGTGGCTGCAGTACATGGCTTTCCACTTGCAGGCCACCGAGATTGAGAAGGCCCGAGCTGTAGCCGAGAGGGCCTTGAAGACCATCTCCTTCAGGTCTGGCCTAGGCTCTTCACTTTGTTTTGGTTCACAGAGTTTGCCACCATGGCTCATTTCTTCCTAGCCAGGCCAGTAGCAGCCCATGGTCTCTCAGGCTCATCTCATAAGTGTAGCCACCCGAAACAGATCACTCATTTATATTTTATGGTCCTCTTCGATGAAATCGCTATGGCAACATTTACTGGTCTCAGTGTGCTAGCAAGGTTCCTGGGTAAAAAGGCAGAGCAGGGAGACCTCAGCACACACTTGGGTGTGAACCTATTCCTGGCAGAGTGGAGGTGGCTTTCTGAAGCCTGCTGTAGAGGGATGACAACTTTATGCTTTGCCCCTTCACTGTGGGAGAAAATCAGACCCAGGACCCTGTTCACCTTTAATATCAGCCAGTTTGTAATCTGGAGGCTTCCTTCCTGGGAATGGAGAGAGAAATCAGGGGAGGCCCAGACCTGGCAGTAAGAGCTAGGGGAGCCCAGGTTCCTCTTACAGTGAGCTGTGTGGAGACAGGAGATAGTCTCAGTATCGTCTGCACTTAGAGGTGGGACTTGAGGACATACATAGCTGTTGCCTGGGAGAGAAATAGTTCGTGGGCGTCCAGCCTGAGTTTGATGGAGTTCATGTTCTTCCCACTCTGCCTCCAGAGAGGAGCAGGAAAAGCTGAACGTGTGGGTGGCACTGCTGAACCTGGAAAACATGTACGGCTCCCAGGAGTCCCTGATGAAGGTCTTCGAGCGGGCTGTGCAGTACAATGAGCCTCTCAAGGTTTTCCTGCACCTGGCTGACATCTACACCAAGTCGGAGAAGTTCAAGGTAGGGTGTTAGGCTCTGTGCCTGGTTGCCCCAGGCTGAACAGGCCAGGGCCAGCGGTGTATGAGAAACCCACCTCCTGGGTTCCCCACGCTGTCACCTCCAGCCTCATAGGCCTCTTCCCTCTGCTTTCCCTTGCTATTCTCACACCTGTCTTCCGTCTGGGGCCTTCTTTCCTGGAGGGACAATTAGGGAGGCTCCTCCCTCCCAGTTTCCTCACCTTCCCCACACTCCTTCCTCACTGCCTCTTTCCCACAGGAAGCTGGTGAGCTGTACAGCCGGATGCTAAAACGTTTCCGGCAGGAGAAGGCTGTCTGGATCAAATACGGCGCTTTTGTTTTGGGAAGGAGTCAGGCTGGGACCAGTCACCGAGTGCTGCAGCGAGCCTTGGAGTGCCTGCCCACCAAGGAGCGTGAGTGCTCTTCCCCGTTCCTGAACACTCTCAGGCCTGATACTGCAAGTGGCAGTCGTAAAGTCGTAAAGTTGTAAAGGGTGGAGTCACTCCTGAGTTAGGAAGGCTGATGGTGTGCTCATGAATGGTGACGTGTGCAGGTCAGATGCTGGACCCTGAATACGGAGGAACAAAAACAATTAGCACTGACTCTGTTGTCCATGGGCCTAAGAATGGGGCTGTCTGCAAGGCTTGTGTGTGTATTTGGTCTGTCTCCTACCACATCCTAGATCCTGTCCCTGTAGCGTAGTGTGCTGTAGTGAGGGGTCTCTGGAAGTGTCTTGCCTCTGACCTGTCCTTTCTCCACAGATGTGGACGTGATTTCTAAGTTTGCCCAGCTAGAGTTCCAGCTGGGGGATGCAGAGCGGGCTAAAGCCATTTTTGAAAACACACTGAGCACCTACCCCAAACGCACAGATGTCTGGTCCGTCTACATCGACATGACCATTAAGCATGGCAGCCAGAAGGAAGTCAGGTGAGGACTAAGACAGACAGGGCTGGCTGGTGGGGCCTGGGGCAGGAGGGGCTTTAGCCATGTTGGTGTTTAGTCACCCAAGGCAGCTCCCGGTTGTCTGAGCTGACACTGAACAGCAGCTTTGACATGGTTCCCTGGCCCACTTGATTTCTCCTTTCCAGCCTTTGTATGTCTGAACCCTGCTGGGGGTATGGCCTGGGAGCCAGGAGACTTGGGGTCCCATGTTGGAACTGTCATAGGTGGCCTCTCACTTTTGTCCCCCACAATCCCTAAAGGACAAGGAGGGTTGGAGGTGGGTTGCCCCCGTGTGGGTTCAGTGGGTCCCCATCCCAGGAGCTTTGCTCTCTTCACCATGTAACTTTAGGCTATGACAGGAATTCACCGCTGATAGAGATGGGAAATGGGGTGGCTGCTGGGTGTTAGAGGGACCTAGTGTCTGAGACCAAGTTGGGGAGCACAAGCTAGGAGTCATGTGGTAGGGACCCTGAGGGAATTGCTTCCTTGTTCTTCCTCATAGGGACATCTTTGAACGTGTCATTCATCTGAGCCTGGCCCCTAAGAGGATGAAGTTCTTCTTCAAGCGCTACCTGGACTATGAGAAACAGCATGGCACTGAGAAGGACGTGCAGGCTGTCAAGGCGAAGGCGCTGGAGTATGTGGAGGCCAAGAGCTCAGTACTGGAGGACTAAGTAGCTCTAGGCTCCACAGGACATGGTAGACGCCACAGCACGGCCTGAAGCAGGCACCTGGATGCTTAGGAAGCCGTTGCTTGAGGACTGTTTAAGTGCTGCTTTTTCTGCAGCATGCCTGGGACAGTCCTGCCAGAATAAAGGATTTTGAGAGGCTTTCTCCTTTTTAAAAGAATGAAATTTAAAAATTAAAAAAAATCTTTTTAAAGACAGGGTTCTCCCTCTGGTCCTGCTGGCCCTGAACTTGCTATGCAGACCTGGCCAGCCTTGAACTCAGAAATCTACTGCCTCTGCCTCCCAGGTGCTAGGATTAAAGGCGTGTATGTACACATGCTAAGCAATTGCTATTCCTCTAAACTACACCAGGCCCTTGAGGTTTAATGCTCTTGTTTTATGTAACACCTTATGTCTTCCTTTTTCTTTCCTGAGGCTGCTCCATTTTTTCAGGCAACAGTCTCTTGGGCTTCAGAAAAAAACAAGCATTCCTTTCAGGAGAGTTTGCTGCAGTCTAAGAGCAGAAAAGCAAAGACCAGTGGTTTTCATGGTCAGAGTCCCATTTTGTTTCTTGGCAAGCTCTCAGGCCATACCCAAAAGGGTGTGGGGTAAACATTGTCTCCGGTCCGCCTGTACCATCTGCCCTGTTGTGGAGACTGACAGGACAGAGGAAGAATCCAGAAGAAAATAGGAAACCGAAGCTACTGAGAAAAGCTGAAAGTATTGCTTAAACTGCCTGGTCTCTGCCTGACTCCCAAGGCCAAGTGATGACCCCCCACCCCCTCCAAGTCTGCCACAGCTCAGCAGGCTGTGTGCTATCAAAGATCCTACTAATTGTTGGCATCTTTGTGCGTGTGTGCGTGTGCGTGTGCGTGTGCGTGTGTGTGTGTGTGTGTGCCTGCGTGCATGCGTGCGTGTATGGCTTGGGCCTAAGGGAATTAAAAGCTTTCTCTGATAGCCTATATTGTTCTCTGAGTTTTCTGTGAAAAATAGCTGGGTTAAATGCCAGCAAGCAGGACAGAGGCAAGGGAGGGCATGAGGCTGGAGCTGGTCGATGCAGGGTGAGAGGGAGGAGGAGCTGAAGGCTGTTGGTTCTTGGAGTTTATTTAGTACAAGTCCTGCCCAGGGCAGGACGTTCTGATGGGATGTTTTTCACTGAGCTGCCCCCTGCAAAAGGCCAGGCTGCCTTTGACTAGATTATATCAGGTAACTCAATCAAATCCCCAAGAGACTCGACCCTTGGGTAGGACATCTGACCTGCCTTGTACTGGTGCCAATTTTTGGTCCCCTTTAATCTTGTCCCATTTCCTCTCACAGTGGGCTGCATGCCCTTGTCCGTTGCACAAACACCAGTGTAGGCTTTTAAAGTAAGAAAAGCTTTATCAAAAAGTTTAAATATATAAAATATATATGCCTCAATGGTGAGGCAGCTTCCTAGCTGTACACATAGGAGCTGGGCATCCCTATGCAATTAGACCCAAGTTAACTGCAGGAAGTGTCCTGTACAATAAGGAGCCCCCAGTGGTTTGGACAGCACCAGGCTCCACCAGCTGATGCTTCTCAGTTTGCAGGCCCACCGAAGACCACCCATGGCATAGGGAAGGACCAGCTCTGGCAAAGTCCATAGTTGTGAACAGTGTTGGTGGCCACAGATTTCAGTAGGTCTTCAAAGTCAGTGCCCCCAACCCCTCCCACCCCATCCTCAGTTTCTGTGGACAATGTGGTCCACAAGATCCTTACAAACTCCTAGTTTTATGTCCCATTGGTCCATGCCCAAGACACTGTAGTTAACAGAAAAATCTGGTGAGGATACTGTGAGGGTTTGTTTGAGACTAAGATGGCTCTAGGAAGAGAGCAGGGCCATCTCCATGTTGTCAGGGGCTGTGCCATTACCTGTCAGGCCCTGGGCCCACTTGTGTAGGCGACTATAGAGTGGGAGGCCCTGGTTCTCACGGTACAAGTAGACCCCAGTGATAGCATTCCACTGTGGGCGTGGCTGTGTGCCTTCCACTGGGAACTTGGCGACCAGCTCTTCATCATCCTTGTTGAGGGCCACAAAGCCGAAGAAACGGCGCACGTTGTTGGCAGCCAGCACTCTTGAATGCACCTCCACTGTGCGCTGGAACAGCTGGTCCTCATTGGTGCGGTACTGTGCCCAGTAGGCTTCCTGGCGGTAGCTGAGTGGCGAGCAGTAGTGCTTGAGGCACTTGGTCAGGAACACCAGGATGGCCACCACACCGATGAGCAGCCATCCAAAGAGCTGGCCAGAGAATAGGCAGGGCTCAGGGAGGGGCCGAGAGCTGCCTGGACCCTCCCTGGGAAGGGGAGGGTGAGGGGGTGGCTCAGGGAGGGTGCCTGGACCTCACCTGCAGGGAGGGGCTCAGGGAGGAGGCTGCTTGGACCCTGCCTGGGGGGGGGCACCTGGAGAATCTGGGCACAGATTCTGCTCTGCGGGCGAGTGGGACTTACTCTTTTCTATTCTTACTTCCTTTAGCCCACACACTCTCGTGCTTAGCCTGTGCCTTCTGCCTTTTTTATTCTTCAGCCCTGACGGTGCATTATCACTGGACTCCACCAAACCCAGGTCAGGAGCTGGAAGTGGAGCTCAGTGACAGAGCACACATTAAACATACGAGACTCACTTCTACAAAAACCAGTCCAAACTGTGTCAGCTCAGATGCCACCTCCGAAGGCGTCCGAGGCCTCTATCTCACACAACATCACTGTCTGCCTAGGAAGAAGCAGGTGTGCTGTTTGAGGCCATCTGTGCCTATGGCTCACATGTAGACCTGTGGATTAGGGACTAGTGTTCTGTATTTGCCGTCTTCCACCTCAGATGCTGACTTTAGCCCCGTTTCTCTGCTTCCTCCCTGCCTCCACCCCTTGCAAAACAGGTCTCATGTAGCCCAAGTTGGCCTGTGTAGCTGAGGATGGTCTTGAGTTTCTGATCCTCCTGCCTCCACCTCCTGAGTGCTGAGTTACAGGCATGTGCCACACCTAGTTTATGAGCTGCTAGGGATCAAACACGGGGCCTGATGTGTGCTAGGCATGCGCTCTACTGAGCTGCATCTTAGCCTTACCTCTTCCCTTACATTGTTGCTGTTTAAAGAATTAGTTTAGAATTTGTGTGTTGGGCGGAGGTGTACATGTGTTGTGGAATATGTACATGTGTTGGGGGTATGTACATGTGTTAGGGGAAGTGTACATGTGTTGGGGTATGTACATGTGTTGGGGTATGTACATGTGTTGGGGTATGTACACGTGTTGGGGGTATGTACAGTGTTGGGGTATGTACACGTGTTGGGGTATGTGGACGTGTGGGGGGTATATGTACATGTGTTGGGGTGTGTTGGGGGTATGTACATGTGTTGGGGGTATGTACATGTGTTGGGGTATGTACACATATTGGGAGGTGTGTACATGTGTTGGGGGCAGCATTTTTTGTGAATGCAGAGTCCAAAAGATGGCATCAGATTCCCTGTTTATATTTATTTTTATTTTATGTGCACTGGTGTCTTGCCTGCCTGTCTGTCTGTGTGAGGGAGCCGGATCCCCTGGAACTGGAGTTGCAGACAATTGTGAGCCTCCATGTGGTTGCTGGGAATTGAACTTGGGACCTCTGGAAGAGCAGCCAGTGCTCTTAACCACCGAGCCATCTTCCCAGCCCTGACCATTCTTTTGGCCCGTTTCTCCTTGACCAACATCCAAACAGGATGCAAGAAGGCTGTAGCTAGGCCCAAGCAGCAGTAGCCTGCCTCTGCCTGGCCAGCCTCTGACTGACTCACTGATGGGACAGGAATATGGTCACTACTGCAGTCAACCAGGTTCCACTATCACCTCAAAGCCCACAGCAAGGATTTCTGAGGTGGCCTGCAGGGTCCAATGCCTAGTCAAGCCAGGGTAAAGATAATCTCAGCAGGCAGATTGGGACTGGCCCTGTGGTGTCATGGGATATGGGGTGCTTTCTCTGGCATTCCAGCTGGTGTCCCCTTAGTGCTTAAAACAAGAGGGGCTTCGTGGCAGAGTACATGCTTGGCATTTGTGTGGACTTGGGTCCATCCCCAGCATCCAAAGGCAAATCAGAAACACATATCCCTGTGATGAATTGACCCTTGCCCCACAGTCACCCTGCTCTGAGACCTGACAGGCCATCTAATGCTTCCCTGGAGAGTTGCTGGCTTTCACACTGGATCATACGATTGTGTACCACCCCACCAGCTACCACCGTGGGAGCCGTTCACACAGCTGCTTACCTGGGACTCATACTTGAGCCTACGGCTGACCTCCTCGCGGAAGCCTGACAGGTTGGCAGGGCCCTCTCCACAAGGGAACCTGGCTAGGATCTCCGTGGCGTGAGCTGAGGGGAAGGCTTCATCTCCAGCTGTGAGTGAGGAAGGGTCCACAAACTCACTGAGGGCGCAGACGTAGGCCTCCCCTCGAAGAAGGGAGATGACAGACCAGGTGACGGGGGCCACGGCTGCACGGCCCAGGATGGAGCTCAGGAGAAGGAAGTTGGGGGCGGCTGAGCAGTTCTTGGCCCTCCGATACTGGCACTCAGCGACTAGGTTCCAAGTGTGGTTGTTGAGGATGACTCCAATAAGGAAGAGTGCCAGTGCAGGCACGCCAATGGCCGTCAGCCCGTACAGGTAGTTCCGGGCGGGAGAACAGGGACAGTGGAAGGCCACCACAGAGAACAGCTCCTGACTGCCCACCGTGCCCAGGGCCACCAGTCCATTGAAAATCATCACATCCTTGCTCTTGAAGAAGAGAGACAGGAAGCGGAAGTTCTCTGCGATCAAGGCCGCCATGGTGCCTGGTGGGCTGGGGATGGGATGCTCAAGAGGAGGCAGACAAGGACGATGCAATCGGGGCTTCTGGTGAGACTAGGAAGGAGCACAGGCAGGACCCTGATGGCAGAGCATGACTATGCCATCCTATCATCTGCAGTGGCTGATCGGGTGCTTCCTGTGAAACAGATGACTGATAAATGCTCGTCTCTGAACACGGGCTGAGGGGTGCCACTGTGGTCAAGCAGGTGGGGAAGGAGGGAGCTCCCCCAAAATGGTGGTAGCCATGATTGCTTAAGTTCCTGCCAGGTGCCGACACTCCCCACCCATGTTGCCTGTCCTCATGGGTTGGCAACCCCCTGGCAGCCTTGTGCACCCCCACCTCAAGCCCGGAAAAGGGTGAGGCTTCCTGAGGGTGAGCCAGCCCCTGGCCAGGGCCACATATAAATAAAGGGCAGGCCTCCAAGTTCATGATCAGGTCTGTTTGCCCCGAATACTTTAAGATGTTTTTGCCGCTGCCTTCTCTTCATCAGGAGGCTCAAGAATGGCTGGAGGTACCAGGTGAGAGGGGATGACTTCTCTCTGGGATCCCAGGAAGCACAAATATGCTAAGGATTTGGGATAATTTGGAGGGTGTGGCATGGGTTTCAAAACTGCAGGGGTTGTCCTAATGGACAAAGGGTAGCCTGGAGCCATGGGTCTGGTGAGGAGCCAGGCCCTCTGAACCAGAGTGAATTTGACACAAGAGGTCAGCATCCTTGGATACACAAAGCCCTTTCATTTTGGAGACCTCAGGGTCTCAACACACTTCATGTCTTTTCTCCAGATGTCTGTACTCAGCTATGAAAAGGGTAAGGCACTCTAGTCCCAGACCCCTTCCTAGGAACGTTAGGGGACAACAAATAATGTCTGATAGTCATTCAGCATCTGAAACTTAGGTTGGGATGATTCTCATGATGGCAAAGGTCAAAAAATGAAGACCAGGGGAGGACAGGGTGTCTTGCCTGAGGCTGGGCGAGCCTGGAGGAGCCTGGCGAGGCTTTGACCACGACTTGAGGATACTTAGGAAGTGGACAAAATCAGTCTGAGCTAAGTTAGTCCGCATTCACAATCTCCTTCAGACCTTGGTCCCCTCAAACTTCCCCTATCCAGCATCCTGCAGGAGCTCCGCGCCAAGAAGCCTAGGCCAGAGATCTTCCGCAGCTGCCAGCCACAGGCAGCTTAGTGCCCATCGTACCTGTCAGCCCTCCCCTGAATCTGTGACTGCAGCAGAGATGGCACCCTGCCAGAAGTGGCCTTGGCCTCAGGCTCTTTGCAAGTTTAGCCCTAATTCCGTTCCCAGGCTCCACCCACACAGAGAGAGACAGGCAGGGTGTGGCCCCTTGTCCATCCCCATCAGGGGAAGAAAAAACAAAACTTCCCAGGCCAGAGCAAGTCTGGAAGTGGAGAGAGGGGTTAGCGGTGAGGAGACATAGGGAGGCCTGTGCCGGCTCTTTTCTGCTTATACTCACATCCATTTTCCTGTTGCTGCCTCTGCCAAGGACGCCAGATGGGCACAGGCAGGGCCATGTGGCTATGTGGGCTCCAGGAGGAGGAGGAACAGTTTGACTCCCCAGCTCAGAGCCCAGAGATCCTGAATAATCCCACAAAGAAGGGACTTCATCCTGTTGTTGTAGATAAACAGGCTAGAGGCAACCCCATCTCTCCCTTTCTCCCTCCATCCCTCCCTTGCTCTCTTCTGGCACCCAATTAGCACACAATTCGTGGCCCCAGGCTCTGAAACCCACCCAGTGTTAAAGTACAAAATGCCCGATTGAAAGGGGAAGGAACAGAGGATGTACTGGACTGAGATTATTATGCTAGGGGTTTCTTCCCAAGGACAGGAGACAGGCAAACAGTACTTCCATGTCCAGTGTGAGGGATCTAAACCAGAGGTTTCCTCTCCAGACAATCCCTGGAGGCTGCCTGGGACCAACCTGCCAGCTCCTTTGACAGCTGCACACCCCAGGAAGGGGCCCCTCCTTACCTGGGCTGGCTGCAGGCACCAGTGGCCTTGGCTTCCTGGGCTGGCCTCTCAGAGTGACAGCAAGCAGTGTGGGCACCGCAGACCCTGGGACAGACTCGGGGTTGCAAGGCAAAGTGGCCTCAAGGCGGCGGCTCTGCTTTTGCGTTTGAAAGCAACAGGCCTTTGGGCTCCAGTTACAAACAAACTTAACTCCAGGCGTCTATAGCTGAACTGCAAGCAGCTGCAAACAAATTTAACTCCAGAAAAAGAGAGAAAAAACAGTGGCATGGAACTTTCTCGCCAGCGAATGGAAAATCAGCCTCCCAGCGCCAGGCAGAGGAGGGCGGGCTGCTGGGGGCGGCGCAAGACAGAAACAGAGGAAGTAGAGGAGCGGTCTTAGCTTCTGCGTCCTGTCCCAGCCCGCCTCTGGGCCCGCTGTGGCTGGCCCTACTGGCTCTGCCTCGACTCTACTCTGTGCACCCCTGGGGGGTATCTGGGAAGGTCTAGGCAAGAGCCAGACGGGGCTCTCCAGGAGATCTTGCCCAGGCTTGCCCTCCAGGCCAGTTTAAAGAATAGCCCCCGTGGGAGTCAGGGCAGAGGTGGGTGTTCAGGATTGATGGTGTTGTTCCAGAATGCAAAAGGTCAAGACCCCATCCCCTCTGCCCTTCTCTCTCTGAGAGTCCTGCCTTTGTCTGTACCAGCCATCCCCAGAAGCGGCTCTCCCCACCACAGTTCAGCTAATTCCCGGCATCGACCCTATACTCCTCTGTACAGCTAGCTGACAACTGAATCGAGGAATCTGGGGGATCCTCTGGGCTCCTAGGGCAGAGCTGGGCAGAGGTAGAAATTACAGGGAAGCAGGCTTCTAAGCTGCCCTGCCTGTCCCTAGAGTGGCCAGGAGCTCCTATGCTTGGGAGTTCACTAACAAGACTGGAGAGTCATGAGTCAGCCATCAGAGGACAGAGAGCCTAGGATAGGGAGAGATAGCCCCAGGGCCGTCAGCTCTCTAGGGCTGTGACACTGGAACTCACACTGAGTGCCAGGCTGAACCCCCCTGAGTCTGGCTTGTCTGTTTGGCAGGAATGAATGAAGAGGAATCGGTGTTTCTTTATCCTTGCCTTCCCACAGTGCTTTACGAGTTAGGAAACTTGCCTTACTTAGCTCCCACCACTCTGGTGCTGGAACTCACCAAAGCTTTCCCTTACATTTGTTTCTCCAAGCACTTTCTGGCTTCTGTCATCTGTCATCCTGTCCCTAGTGGAAGCCCCCACACACCAGTGCATGCTCCGTCTGCATTCATCTGGTCCCTTCATTCAGGGCTGGAGTCAAGGTCTACTGCCTCTTCCCTGCCACCCTGCCTGAGAGTGGAGGGACAGCGGATGAAGGAAAATGAAAACACAAAGGTCAGCTTGAGCTCTGAGATGAACAGGGCCGAGGGCTGAAAGATGGGACTGGGAGACAAGAAGCCTGCCTGTACCTCTGTTTCCTTTGCTTGGACAAGATTCCTGTCCCTTGGTTGGGGCCAAGAGAGGGGAGAGCAAGCTGTCCATGGGCTCAGAGATTAACAAGCACACTAACCACCCTGGCCCAGGTGTCTACTGTGTGCCCTGTGAGTTTAGACATGGTCAACCCATGAGGTAGATGGCCTTCTCCCTGTTGCACAGATGAGGAGACTGGGACCCAGAAAACGAGGCACTAGGCCCCTGGACACACTTTGCAAATGGTAGGACCAGCATTTAACCCAGCTGTATCCCATCCTACTCTTTACTTCCCCTCTTAGGTGACACCTTTATCTTCACCACACCTTGGGGCAAGCTCCCCAAGGAGCCTCTGAGAAAATAAGAATTTATCAGCTTCCATTAGTAGCTCTCAAGCCCCATGGGTGATCTGCTTTCCTAAGATTATGTGTGAGAATATTAATTTTGTACCTGGTGTGAGGTAAACATGGAGTCTGCCTCAAAAGTTGTTCTAATGGGCCCTGCGACGCACACACCTTGGCCTCTATCATGTGGTCCTAGGTCTTGGCATCTTATCATGTGTCACCCAGGTGTGTCACACCAGCTGAAGCCCCATTCCATCTTACCCAAGAAACTGGCAAGCATTATGAGAGGGCTGGTTGCCCTCAGATCCTTGAGCCTGAGCATGAGAGAAGTCTAGAGCAAGAGGAAACACTGGGTGTGGGCTTTGGAAGCCTAAGTGGAGACAGTCAGCCAGGGATGGAAGGGAAAACATCACAATGAGGGCAGGAAAGGACTTGGGTACCAGTCCTGGTACCTTGCATCCTGCTCCTACAGCCAGAAGTGAACACTCGTAATACTGCAACGACAGGTGAGGCACAGGTGAAACTGCTCCCAGATCACCCAGACAGCGTCCCAGCTAAAGAGGTAAGGTCCTTCAGCTCCAAATTCCCTTTTCCACACTAGCAGATATTGCCTGGACTTGTGACTGTGCCTCGGAATTTTTTTTCTGTCTACTTCGAGGGGCGAAGGGCTGTGGGTTCAGATCTCTACTCCTGTCTCTGCAGCCAGCTACCACTCACACTTTGCTAAAGTAGGTGGCCACTTCCTTGCGTGGAGGCCGGGGCTCAATCCCAGCCCAGCCATTGCCCATCAGTGGTGCCTCCTGGCCCAGCCGCAGTGGTGGCTTGCATTTGTGCCAGCTTGTGAGTAGTTTGTTCATGGTGCCTTGGTCAGTGATACCACGCAGTTTCTCCCTCTCTTCCTCTGTCCTGTCAGCTTCCACAGGTGTAGCTGCGGCCGTGGCCAACACTCCATGTGTGTGTCCCAGTTCCAGGTCATGGTTCATGGCTTCAAAGAACTGTTGGATACATACCTTAGCAAAGGCCTTGGCATGCTCTGTGCATGTCTCATCAAAGAGTTTACGCTCGATGTCAATGTAGTGGGACCAGTACTTGCTCTTGAGAAAGGCAGCTTGTGTGAAGCAGGGCCGCACAGAACGTACCACAAATGCCAGTAATGTGGTCAGCAGCACAAAGGACCAGCCCAGTGCCTGAGGGGAGAGAAGGATGTCAGCAGGCTACCTGCCCTGACCTCCCAAGGACTTCCTAGAGCCTCTAGAGAGAACAGCCATGGACCAAGTGACACCACCGCTTGGTCTCTATCTCGCCATGTGTAAAATGGCCATATACTTCAGCTCACAGAAACTGGGAGCACAGACAGCGCTGCTTTGGCAGGGCACTCAGTGGGCAGGGGTGAGTGAGGCCTTCTGGGTATGAATCCTGTCTCCACTTGAGCTTTCTGTGTCTCAGTTTCTCTACCTACAAGATGGGGCGACTAGGGATAGCACCCACCTCACAGGGTCTTTAGGAGAACCAGATGTGATGATGACCGTAAGACAGCGCACACAGCACTCTCCATTAGACATCGTGATGGCGCCACTCAGGGGCTGCGCCTCTTTCTTAAGAAGCCCTTTCCTGATCTCCCGGGCCTACTGGCCTTCTTCCTCTGAGGTTGGGGCCTTTCCTCCAGCTTCTGGAACTGCACCACCTCTAAGTGAACACTCCCTCCACCCGCTGAGCTGGACTCTGAAGGAATTCCAGCGACACCCTGGACAGTCCTTGAACTCCACCGAAAAGCCTGGGACACTTGGCTTTGACATTTGCTCTGACAGTAGCTCACCGTAGGGCACAGAGCAGGACACCCCTCCCTGTCTGCACTTCTGGTCAGACCCCATCTACACAGAGAAGAGTTGGGAAAAGTCAAGGAAGTGGAGGTGGGCGTGGCTGCCTTGGGGGCAGGTGGGAAAATCCAGAAGTCGGTCAGGGGGCTGTCTCCCTTGTTGCTCACTAAGTCACTGTGGTTTCACAGGGCTTGGGTTTTCTCATGTTCCAAGTGCAGTTGGAAATCTGATTTTTTTTTTCCTTTGACAATTTCTGATTTCTAGATAAAGGTGGCTGCCTTGGGGGCAGGTGGGAAAATCCAGAACTCGGTCAGGGGGCTGTCTCCCTTGTTGCTCACTAGGTCACTGTGGTTTCACAGGGCTTGGGTTTTCTCATGTTCCAAGTGAAGCTGGAAATCTGATTTTTTTTTTCCTTTGACAATTTCTGATTTCTAGATAAAAGCCAATTAATTCTAAAGTGACTTCAGAGTTCAGTCTCTACCCGTCACAGGGACTTGTCTACTGTCAGGCTGTTTGAGGCCTCTCAGGGGACCTTCCAGCTACACAGTGTGACAGTTAAAAGGTCACGTGGAGTGGCAGCTGCCCCAGCGCCCGAGGCCTAGGGCGATGGGACAAGCGTCCACAGAGGAGGAGGTAAAGAGCTTGGCTTAGACACTCAGTCAGAGATCCTTGAGGCTGTCTGGGTGGTGACAGACCCTACAGGAAAACAGCCCCCCCTGGGGGAGGGGGAGGGGCCGGCACTGGCCAGAGCAAAAGTGTGCCTGTTTCTCTAGCAGACACCTCCTTCTGCCCGTCTCCCCTCATCGCACAATTTACTGCCCCAGGACACGATGCCCAGATAGTCCCTTCAGCCCAATCCCAACCACTCATCTCTCTCATCCATGTGCTCCTGTTTAAGGTACCCAGACTCTCAGCTTCCACTCCTGGAACAGGGAGGCACCAGCTGGGGGCATTTGCCAGGGAAATGTACCCAAATGGCTTAGCCTCCCACTGGCCTCACTACGGCCTAGGCCTGGGAAAGGAAATGAATGCAAATTCTCTCAGCTTCTCAGCTCTGAGCTCAGGATGGAGGAGGTGGAAACATATACGCTCTCCAGGTGACCCTGTCTGAGAGAATGCACAGGCTCTGCCTTGAGTTTCAGCTAGGAATGTACGCCTCTACCCACGGCCATCTGAGGGAAAACCCAGAGGGACCCTGGCCTGTAAGGAGACCCAGCCCCCTCACCTGAGAGATGCAGCGCAAATATCGCACGGCCACCTCTCGGGCCAGCAGCCAGTTCCCATCGTAGATCTCAGGGCAGGGTACACGAGCCAGCAGGCGAGCCAGCTCTGCAGCAGGCAGGCCAGGCACCAGGCTGCCATTGCCTAGTGTGGCCACCGGCACCGCGGTGCAGAAGGCACAGAGAAAACACTTGCCATCCAGCAGTGTGACAGCCACCCAGACGACGGGTGCGATGAGAGCTCGCTGGGCCATGGAACAGAACATGTAACGTAGCACGGCTGGGTCCTTGGCCCGACGGCCGGCAGGGCGCTTCCACTCTTCAGCAAGCATGGATATGTTGTTGTTCATGACTAGGCCGAGCAGAAAAAGCACCAGGGGAGGCGTCAGCAGTATACCCATGCTGTAGGCCACATTGTAGCCAGGCAAGCAGGGGCAGTTGAAGTCAAAGGCAGAATATATCTGGGCACTGGCCAGCGCCATGATGCCACAGATACCGTTCATGAAGGACTCTTGGTTGGACTGCAAAAACTGGAAGATCATCCGAAACTTGTCCATTGCGTCCTGTGAGGGCCCTCAGCCTCTTCCCCTCTCACTGTGGCTTCCCAGACAACTCCAGTGAGCCACCCTGCCTACTGGACGGCCACCTCATGACTGGGATCGTGGCTGTACTAGCAGAGCTCCGGGCAGTTGATGAAGTCACTCTGACTCTGAGGCGCCTTCTACACAGGCTTGACCAATCCTGTGGGTACAGCCTGGACTGTGTCCCTCCCTCCCTTGGGCTTCCCTCCCCGTCTCTCCAGCTGCCTGCAGCCTAGAGACCAAGCCACAAAGCTGCCGGATGAGGACCAGTTTTCTTTGGGTGTGGGAGGGAGGAGGAGGTGTCAAGCTGGAGTTTGCAGGGCCACTGGGCTCTGGGGGAAGCAAGTCATCTCTCTGTGCCCTTGTGAGCTCTCTCTGCAGCGTCAGGACCCCAGGGAGCTCTTCCATCAGTTGAGACAGTGATAATAACATGACATGGAAATGACGGTGGCAATAGGGGCTGTGGCAAATGGTGTAGCTGGATATTACTCACAGTAGGGAAGGCAGAGGCGGCTGGTGAGTGTGGCGTATGGTAGAACTACCTGGATTTAGAAGGCTTTCTTTTCTTTCTTTTTTTGACACAAGGTCTCCAACTCATTATGTAGCCAAGAAAGATGGAGAATTCCCAATCTTCTTGTCTGTACCTCCTCGATTCTGGGATTACAGGCTCATGCCATCAGAACTGGCTTTTTCTTTGGGATTGGATTGAACAGATTGCCTAAGTTAGGGTTTCGGCCTGTTTCCTGTTCGTGTCTCTGTGGATGTATCTGCATTTGTAAATGGCAAACTCCTTCCAGGCTCCTTTTATTTCTACACCTCTAGACCCACAGGTGATGCGGTTTCATGATCAGAGAGAGCTCTGTCTGTTGAGCCACCCTAGGGCAAGTTCCCTTCAATCCACTGCTTTCAGATAGACGTGTCAGAGCTGGATCCTCCTGGATCATTCCTTGTCTGGAGCAAGGAGAGGCTGAGGAAGTACATCAGAAAGAATGTCCCCTTGAGTTTCTGACCATACACACTCGGTGTGGCTTCTGTCTGTGTACAGAAGTGTGCTTGTAACCACATTAGTGGCCTTTTGCCTCCTCCATCTTTGGATTTCTGATAAGACCTGCCATGACCTTGGCTGCTGTATACACCTTGCATGCGTACAATCCTACGGGACAAAATTTCTATCACTTTACAGAAGTGAGGCCAAGGCTCAGAGGGGCTAATCTATTTTTTTTTTCTTTTGTTTTTCAAGACAGAGTTTCTCTCTGTAACAGTTCTGGCTATCCTGGAACTCACCTTGTAGACCAGGCTGGTCATGAACTCACAGAGATCCTCCTGCCTCTGCTGGGATTAAAGGTGTGTGCTGCCACCACTTGGCGATACCAATCTATTAGCTAAAGGCCATCGGTGGAGAAGTGAGAGTGGAGCCCAGGTTAGCACTTGTGGGTAGGAATGCAGGATGAAGAAGGGCAAGGGAAAGTATTTGTTTACTTTTTGTTATTGTTGCTTTAACTTATGGATCAAGTTTGTTGAGTACAAAGGCTATTTATGGATAGGACTAAGGGAAAACTATTGTTTCCCTTGGGCCATAAGGCTAAGTGTCCCTGAGACAACTGGAGTCCCTAGGTTGATAACCCCTGGAAAATTCTTGCTAGGGACTCTTCCAGAAGACATGCATCAGAGGGGAGTGGCATGAGGGAGATCCAGAAAGGAAGGTGTCTCTCCATGAATGTCTGCTGCATGGAAGATGAGGGTCTTGGCTGCTTCCAAGGCTTGACACAGCCCCAGAATGGCAATGGGGTGGGCCTGGATGGCTCATGTAACCAAAAGAGCACCATGTGGAATCTCTGTCTTGTGTACAGGTCTGCCTGTTTGTAGCAAAGATGTGTCAAGAATTCGCAATGGTTAAAAGGTACCTGTGGTAGCCATGTGTACAACCTGCAAATTCTACCTGCAATGTTACTTGAGAAGTCTTGATGTACCACAGTCACTCATGGGTCCTACACACTCTGTGAGGGTTAGCACTGTAGCCTCCCTTCCCCCAAGGTGTACACTGTAGCTCCCAGACTCCTCATACTCCTCAAACATGACAATCCTTCCCACCTCAGAGTCTGTGCGAGCACTTTCCGTGTTTTGGGAACACTTCTGTTCTTCCCCACAGACATTCCCGTTCATCTTTAAAATAATTTATTTATTTATTTTGCGTATATGGGTGTTTGTCTGCATTTGTGTCTGGGCAGCACATGTGTGTCTACTGTCCTCAGATCTCTTGAGATTGGGGTTACAGATGGTTATGAGCTGCCAGATAGGTGCTGAGAACTGACCCTAGGTCCTCTGGAGGAGCAGGCAGTGTTCTTAATTGCTCAGCAAGCTCTCTAGCCCCTCCTACTTATCTTTTGTTTTGTTTTTAGAGGCAATGTTTCATTGTATAGCCTTACATGGCCTGAAATGAAACTCACTTAGTAGACCACTAAGTAGACTCAGAGATCCACCTGCCCCTGCCTCTTGAGTGCTGTGACTAAAGTGTGCGCCACCACTGCCTGCCTTTCTTCCTATTCATCTTTGAGAGCCACTTTTTTCTTTTGAGACAGGGTCTCCTTATATAGCCCTTCATAGACCAGGCTGGCCTTGAACTCACAGAGATTAAAGGCATCTGCCACCATTGCTGGTCTTTAAAATTCACTTTAAGTTGTCCCCTCCCATTTATTTATTTATTTACTTTCTTTCTTACTTATTTGTCTATTTATTTATTTATTCATGACAAGGTGTTACCAGTCTTGAACTCACCATCCTCTTGCCTCCTAAGTCTGGGATTACAGGGAGAGTCCCATGCCTGCTTGATAATGCCCCCGTTTTAGAGGGGTCTTCTTGAGCTCTCAGCTTAGCTTGCTGTCTCTTCGTCTCTCTGTCTGTGTCTCTGTCTCTCTCTGTATGCATGGGTGTTGTATGCACAAGTGACTATATCCATGTGTGTGCATATAGAGGTGAGGTCAGAGATGGTTGTCACTGGGTGTCTTTCTTTGCCACTCTCCTTGCTGCTTGGAGACAGATTCTCTTGCTGAGCTAGAATCACAGCTTCTAAGCTGCCCCGGCTGGCCAATTAACTCTCAGGATCTGCCTGTCTCTATCTTCTGTGGTTCCTGGCATGCATACCCATGCTGGACTTTTTAATATGGGTGCTGGGGATTTGAACCCAGGTCCTCATGCTTGCACAGCAAGTTCTCTGACCCACTGAGCTGTCTCCTCAGCCCCCTCATTTCAAACATAGCTATGTTGAGAGGATGTTTATTTAATATCTGGGGCTCCCCTTGGACCACACAGGCTAAAGTTTGGCATTTGTTTTGTTTGCTATTCTTGTTTAGAAGACATTTTATTTATTTTATGTGTCTGAGCATTTTGTCTGCATGCATGTATGTGCACTACATGCCAACGCAGAGGGCATTGGATTCTCTGGAACTGGAGGTGTAGACTACAAACAGCCTGGCCATGCAGGTGTTGGGAACCAAATCCAGGTCCTGTGCAAGAGCAGCCAGTACTCTAAACTGCTCAGCCATCACTCCAGACCCCCTGTTCACGATTCTATTTACAGTACTGAGAACACTGTGCCTGGTACTTACAGAAGATGTTCAGTGCTGGGTGAACATGTAAATGAGTGATCAAAGGAACAGATAAACTTGAGGGGAGGTGAGAATTCAGACCCAAACAGGAGGCTTTCCTTGATGGTTTTAGGTTTCCCTTCAGAGTGAGGGACTGGGAGAAGAGAGGGCTAAGGGCCTGGTGGAGTTCGAAGCTCACTGCCAAGGCAGCTGCTACTGGCAGGCAACCCAGTGTCGCCTCTGTTCTGCCCCCACCTGTCTGTAAGCGGACTTTTCTGTAATCCCAGTCAGTTCTGTCCCCCCAGCCACTCCCCAAATAACCATTTGGAGACTTATTATTAATTTTAAATGCTCAGCCGATAGCTCAGGCTTGTCTCCAGCCAGCTCTTACAACTTAAACAACCCATTTCTATGAATGCATGTGCTGTCCTGAGGCTCATTCACCTCATCTGTGAACTTCCCAGGCCGATTCTTCCACGTCTTGCTCATGACTCCTCAGGCTCCTCCCCTCTTCTTTTTCCCAGCATTCTCTCTGTCCTGAAAATCCTGCCTGGCTATCTGCCAATCAGCTTTTTATTAACAATGAGAGCAACACATTTTCACAGTGTACAGAAGGATTGTTCCACAGCACCCATCACTCCAGACTATTCCCCACAGGTTTCCCTAGACTTTCAGGGACCTGCCCCCCCCCCCCCCCCCCCTTGCGCTTG